GTGAAGGTGGATACACCCGGAAGTGCCATCGATCGACGAATTGGAGTCTACTACACCTGGGATCAGCCAGCCAGGCTCGTCAAGGCCACGTTCCACTCACCGATTACTACCTTGGGCGCCATCGGTCGGTATCCATAGTAAAATTCTCATGAACAAGAAATACATAGAAAGAGCTGACCATATACTCTCATTCCAGCCAAGTATTCGAACGACGAAGGGATCCGATCCGTAGATGTGAGCTTCTTGACCAACGGCGATGAAGCGATGACAATGACCGCAGGGCTGAAGACGAGCAAGGATGGACGCGGGATGCGATACGAGCCCACCTTCAACCTCCGCTTTGGGGAGAACAATCCCGTCGCCGCCTTCGAGGGAAGGCTGGACATGCAGGAGGACAAATACAGCATGGAATTCTCCCTCAGACATCTTACAACCAGACCTATCCTCATCTCTGGTGGGTTATAGGCATTAAACCAACTCGCCATCAAGATGCTCTTATATGAACAATCTCGAATCTTGTGTAAAAAGCTGATGACACTTTTTAATTTTTGCCACGTATATTATTTTTTACATTTACCTTCTAGACATTTTACACATTTAACAATAACTCTGATGGTTAACTTGCTTCTTAGATTTCTTCACATGCTGTATTCTTTTTCCTTAATATATCACTTCCAGGTTCTGCTTACAAGAATGAGGACCAGCTGAACCTCGAAGGGAAGATCGACTCCTCGATGGCGAACCTTAACGTCCAGGGCAGCGTAAAGAAGCAGGAAGGCAAAAAGAGCATCCGCCTCAATGGCGAGTATTCACTCTTCCGAAGGGCGCCCGAGACATTCTCTGTCTCCGGAAAGTACACCACGAACACGAAAGGAGCTCTGAGGGACCGATCCCTCTTCTTGGACGTAAAGAGTAGCCATCTGGATGCCGCTAATGTGGAGTTCGTCTGGAACGGCCAGGAAAGCCCCGGCCACACCGAAAACGACTTCAAGGTCCTGTACCTCGGCGAGGAATGGAAGTTGGAACAGTATTGGTCTCATCAGCGGACAAGGGAACAGAAGGATATCAATGCCAGAATCACCCTCACTTCTCCCCAGAGAGGTTTCAGCACCTCCGTCACCTTTGATCACAACGTAAGTGAATTATCATCCTTCATTCGACCTCCCTTTTGCTTGAACTTCGTGTCTTCATTATACTAATAATATTCTTGCGAATATTTGCAGGGAACTGAGAACAGCAAAGTTTCCAAAGCAGTTGGAAAGTGGAACGAACATGAAATTTCCTTCTCCAACGAGCACATCACCGTCGACTCTCCCTGGAAGGTACGGCTGTCGTCTTCGTAAGATGCAGTCTAAGATTCATTGGGACTGAAACTACTTAAGAATCTTGGTCAATCTTAGGTGAAATCCCGAACGGAAATCTCCCTCTTGGGAACCCTCCTCAGCCTTGACGGAACCGTGAAGGAAGACGGGAAGGGCAAGTACTCCGCCGAGATCCGGGCAGCCAAGGATGACCGCGAGGTCACTCTAACAGGCAGGTATTCCGCCTTCAACACGGAGATCGAGATGAACCACGAAGTGGATGCGGAACTCAGATGGAACAGAGAGGAGACCCTAGGTTTCCAGGCCGCACTCAACAACAAAGGGATGGAGACCGACTTCGTTGCAGCTGTGAGTGCATTCTGATATCATTCCAAATGAAAGATGATACGTGAATCATGATGGGATGTTGGGAGAATCAAACGAATGGGTTGATGTTAAATTCGACAAGAAAGCTCGGCGGCTAACGATATTGATAATTTTCTCTATTAGGTGAGTCACAAGGGAAAGAAGTACGAGGTGAAGGCACACACGAACGTACAGAGCGAGAACTACAAGCTCGGGCTGGCTCTGAACGGACCGGGCATGAAGTACGAGGCGGAAGGAAATGCCGTCGTGCGACAACAGGATGCCACCTTCGACGTCGAACTTCGAGGAGGCAAGATCGTGACGGCTCACTTCGAGATCGATAACCGGAATACAGAAGTGATGACGGCCAAGTTCAACACCATGTGGGACCGAGAAGGGGATCCCAGCAAGAAATTCGAGACTCGATTCAAGGTGGAGAAGAACGGCGCCCGAATTGATGTGGAATATCCCGGACGAGTCGTAAAGTGATGATGGCCAAGTTCAACACCATGTGGGACCGAGAAGGGGATCCCAGCAAGAAATTCGAGACTCGATTCAAGGTGGAGAAGAACGGCGCCCGAATTGATGTGGAATATCCCGGACGAGTCGTTGTCCTCGTCGCCGCTATCGAGTAAGATTCGCTACTTTCTTTTGGACTTTCCCCAAAGCCAGTTCGATCTCAGAACTCATAATGGATGTTTCCCTCCGCAGTGACGTGAACAAGTACGGGAAGTTGGAACTGTCGTGGAACCCCGAGAGGGCAGTCATCTTGGAAGTGGATTATCTCGCTGGAGGAGGGAACACAGGAAAAGTGGGAGCTCGGCTCTCTACACCTTTCGTTGGATATGAGAAAACGGAAATGTATCTTCAATATTCTGTCGGATTCCCTCGTCTCGAAGCCAAGGTGAGTGGTGCAAGGAATTTTCAACTATTGATACAGTAACATTCCTGCAAAATGACGGAATAACGTTGAGAGATTTTTAATGGAACGAGACAAAACTGCGAAAACATTACATTACTATCCCGTTCCATGAAAAGGAAGACAAGTCAAAGAGCTAATAATTTCTTAAAGTGGAAAAATGGATTTATTTATTTAAATATTTATGGTTGAAATAATGCAAAATTTGATGATAATGTGATACAGTCAAGGAGTAAAATGAGACTAATGAGTTTCAGTGAAGTCATCAAATGATTTGGAAAAATAACACCAATATATCGGTTGGTGCGGGAAAAAGCTTGCCTGTTTTAAGACGTGTTGAAAATCGAGGTTGATAAATTTCTTTTTGGATCACATTTTAAACATTAAAAAACTTGTTTCTTTAAAGTTTCACGTGCCTCAGTTGTCTGGCCAAACAAGCTAGGATCATTCCAAGGGCAACCACATAATTAAAACTTTTCATGCTTGAGGTGGATGCAGCTCCTGCACCGCTATAATGATCTATCCTCTTAGAAGGTTTGAATATTTTATTTATTTATTAATAACACTGTAACCTCGTCATGGAATTTTTGTTAATGTAGACTCTTCAGACCTTAGGTGAGGAAATGAATTTCATGGAGTGTTAAGAGTTTAAGGACTGGCGAAGAAAGAAGTAGTAAGGAAAGAGAGTAATAGAAAAGAGAGAGCTTCCAATAAAATCTTGGACTGCGTTCTTTGGAGTCTCCTCCCTCTCTAGCCTTTCCTTTAAACTCATCCCTTTGACGAAGTATATTTTCCGTAGTAAGTTACGACACAATGATAAAACAGTCAAGAACAATAAAATATGAGTGCAGTCATAAGAAGCTAGTTCCTAGACGAAAAAATGGACAAATCGGAAGGGCATTCCTGAACCCACTACTTCCCAATACGTGGATAATAATAAAAATTATTAACGACATTTAGTCCACTTTTCCGTTTTACCTCAACAAATTAGGAACTTGAAAATTTCCATTAGTTTTAGTGGTTTTTGTTGAATATAAAAATAATCGAATCTGCCTCTTTTTCAAGTAGGTTTCATTTAACATCAAACATGACGCGTTTCTTTTGCACCACCCGAAATATACATAAAAGTCAAATCATTACAAGCCTACCATTCACACATAAGCCGTAGCATGATTGCACGAGATAAGCCTAATCGATTCATGCAAATTAAATCGATTTATGCAATACAAAAACTTCCAGCGCGCAACATTTGCTGCAACAAAATATTCCAATCAATGCAACCGCCGCCAGCACAAAAACTGATTAGCTGCTCTCCACAGCAAATGCAACCAACCATTCCGATTTCAGATCGAAGTGAGCATGTTCGGCAAGAACCAACTTACTGCCTCCATCGACGGCGAGCTGAATACAAGCCGGGAAAGAACCGACCTCCAAGGGAAGATCCAAGCCAACGGCCACTGGCTGGCCGAAAACGAGGTCACAGGATCCCTCTCCTACCAGTCCGACCTCGAACGGAGGTTCGCGAGCATCCAGGCTAACTCCGGTGAAAAGAAGATCTCCGTCTCTTATGAGGGCTCGCCCAAAGACCATTTTGACAGCCAATCCGGCTCCATCAACAACAAGATCACCATCTCCTCCAGCATCCCCCAGATCCGCAATATCGTCCTCGCAATCCAGCATATCCACGAGCTTCCGATTGAAGTGGAAAGCGAAGCCTCCCTTGACCTGAACGGTGCCGTTTACAAACTGAACCTCTCAGGACGGACCGAGGGTGGAAAGCACTACTCTGGTAGCATCAAGGTCGGAACTCCAATCGAAACCTTCGAACACAGCAAGGCCGGAGTCACGTTCGACCTGGGATCCAACTCCCTGTCTGGAAATGGCGAATTCGCCTGGAGGGGCCAGCAATACACTGCAGAGTTTGCAGGAAAGGGCGACATGACATCGACCGAGAAGAAGATCCACGGCCTGGTGTCCATCCGAGGGTCCACAATCCCGGATGTTGACGTTAGCCTCCAACACGATTTCCAGAAAGGGAAATTCGCCACCAAGATCGAAGCAGGCGGCTTTCTCTACCATCCATTCCGTCTCGAAGTCATGGGCGAACAGCCAAACCAAAAGACAACATTGGGAAAACTCCACCTTGCCTCTTT